TCATCCCATTAGACAGATGAAGAAAGTGAGGCATAGAGTAGTTGGGTAACTCCAGGGTTACCAACCTGTAAACTTCCGCTCACAGTCAGGGTCTGAACCTCAGCAGGCCAACCCAGAGTCTCTGGTCTTGACCAGACCCCCACCCCACCCCCCTGCAGCCTCTTGCCGGTCTCTTGGCTGCCCCGCTGCTGGAAGCCAATTAAATGCACTTGGTGCAGACACGGCCCAGCTCCCTGATTTACGACGATCTGGAACTCGGTCAGTTGGGTTTGCTCAGGGCCGGGAGTGTGTTCCGGAGGAGCGATCTTCCTGTGAGTCCAGTCCCGGAGACCTTAACGGGAGGGATGGGGGGCTTCCCTCACTTTTTCTCTTCTCCTCCATACTATCCTGGGGGTTTCTGGCAACGACCACAAAATGCCCTCACCTTTCTTTCCTTTCCCCACCACGTAAGGAAGCTGGAGCTTTAGCTCCATAGAGAACCAAGAACAAAATGCAGATGGCACGAGCATGAAAAGAACAAGCCCGCCGAGGCGGGGAGTCGGTATCGATCCTTTCGCCAGCCGAACGGGAATCACCGCGGAGCCGCGCTCCACAAGTCTGCCTTTCCCGGGGGTCGGCGGAGCCCGGGGCCGGGCGTCCCCGCGGCGGGGCACAGCGCCCCCACGGGACCCCGCGGGGTGGCTGCCGCGCGGTGCGCCGGCAGAGCGGGGAGAGCACGCGGAGCTCCCCCGGCCCCAGCGGCCCGACTGCCCCCGGCCGGGGGTCCCGCAGCTACGCCGTCCCTCTCGGGCTCTAGGTCTGCCCCGAGGGGTCGGGAACCATGGGCCTGGGGCGAGAGGTGGTGGTCTGGGGGCGCCGGGCGGCGGGGGCCGCGCGGAGCGGCGGAGGCCGGGCGCCAGCCTGGGGGCAGCGCCCGCATGCGTAGGTGCCCAAGCCCTGCCTATCTGTCCGTCTGTCGGTCGGTAAGGGTAGGTCGGTCGGTCCGCGCCTCGGGGCCGCGGGGCCAGGCGGGGGCCCCGGGGAGAGCGCGCCTCGCTCACCTGCGTCCGCCGCCGCCAGCGCCTGGGAAGCGAGACAGGGGCGCAGCCGCCCGGGTCTTCCTCGCCGGCCTCGTCGCCGCTCCGAGAGCCACGGCTCTCCTCGGGGAGACCGCTCGTGGGAGCCGGGGAAGAAGCCCGAGGCGCTGCCGCTGTCTCCTCCTTGGCCGCTTCCTCCAAGTCCCATCCCAGAGCGCTCCCCTCGCTCGCTGGCTGCCGGGGCGGCTCGGGGCCAGCGCGGGCGGGCGGGGGAGGCGGCGCCGCGGAGGGTGGGGAGCGGGCCGGCGGGAGGAGGGGTGTCCTCTTTGGGGACGGGGCGGGCGCGGAGACGGAGCGGCGCGAGGACCGCCCCACCCCGAAGGCAGCCCCGGGAACCGGGCGCCCTGGCCGCGCGTCCTGCCTGCTGCTACCTCGCTCTGCGCGAGCCCAGGCAGGGAGCAGACTCCCGGGGTCGGGGGCCGCAGGCTCGAGAACAACCAGGAGCTCCGGGGGCTTGGCGGGGGGCGGGAGGCCGGGGGGGGGGGGGGCGGGGGCGCGATGGAGAGCATCTCCTGGAGGAAGGCAGGCGTGACAGGGTCCCGTGTCCTGAACCGAGGGGCATGATCGGTCGCTCGTCGATGATGATGAAGAAGAAAGTGGCCAGAATTGGGGTAATTAGTAACAAGTGCCAGGAGCTGTCTTGGCAGTGCCCAGAGCACCGCTGCCAGTTCATATTAGCAGAGCGTCTACTGGCCAGAGACCAGGCCCCAGGGTGGGGAGGGGAGTCAGGATGCCAGGAGGGAAGGGAAACAGGGTTCACACCCTGAAGGAGCAGAGAAGGTCTGGTCCAGGCCAGACTTCTGAAATTATAGGCAAAGATGTTTGCAGTTTGGTAAAGTGAGGGGAACATGACCTTAGAGGTCCCTGGGGGGATTTTGGAGGGATGCAGGAGACAGGGCTGGTCAGTGGCAGGGAAGGGACCTGGCTCTGCCAGTCTGCCAGCTCTCTCTGCTTCTGGCCAGCTGGGGTGAGTGGGGGTCTGTACAACAGGCTAGTGTGTTAGTTGTTCAGTCGTGTCCGACTCTTTACAACCCTGTGGACTGTAGCCTGTCAGGCTTCTCTGTCCATGGAATTCTCCAGGCAAGCATACTGGAGTGGGTTGCTATTTCCTTCTCCAGGGCATCTTCCCAGCCCAGGGATCGAACCTGGGTCTCCCGACTTGCGGCAGAGTCTTCACTGTCTGAGCCACCAGAGAAGCCAACAGGCTAGGGCATCTTCTAATAATCACGCCAAAGTTATAACCCCAAACCATTAACCCAGCCACTCAGTTCAGGCTTTAACAAGCTATGGGGCAGAGGCAGTGGAATTAACGAGTTTCAAAATGTCGGGTGCCAGAGTCTGATCATTTAAGTACTCTTAGCTGCCTGACACCGAACCATCACTCTTATTTGATGATTTGGTTTCTTATTTGATGATCTGGTTTCTGGAACATGAATAAAAAAACATGTACAAAAGCGATTCTTCAGGAAAACTCCAGATGGGTAATTAAAATTCTAGCCATAAGGCAAGGGGTCAACATACTCAAGCCATCAAGGCAGCTCAGTAGTGTCATGAAGCCAAGAAAGAATACTGGATTCCTGTTCCCTTACCCCGTACCTTAGGCACACTGGGCACTCTTGGCTGCCTGCACTGATCAGAAATAGTTTCTTTGTATGTCTTTGGGAGGAGGTAGGTGGAGGTCAGAAAGCAGAGGAAAGCCTTTAGGAAATGTTTGGTCTCTGAAGTCTTGGATCCCACAAATGAAAATTCTTCCTGAGTTTGAGCCAGTGAAAATCCCTTAGGAGCTGGGGAAGTTGAGTTACAGTTTATGGAAACTTACAGTTTAAATGCATTGCCTTATTCCAAGACACCAGTATGATCCAGTAATTTACCAGGGAAACAATAGCAATTCTGAAATCCTTCCAAATGTTAACGAATTATAATTTAGTAACAGACTTCTGTGATTCTTGTGTATGCCAACTAAGATGGATGTTTTGCCCCAGGGAGTTCTATCAGAATTCCCCAGAAGAAGTCTCTGTACAAAGTATGCCTGGGGCCGAGTCAAATAGGTCAGTGAGCTGTTCTACCTTGTGAAATGATCTTCAGGTCTGCCAGAAAAAGGAAAAAAAAAAAAAAAGGAGAAACAAAAGTGAGTTCAGTATCCTGAAATATCATCAGAATAAAACAATGGTGTTCATTTCCCAGTTACCTTTGGGGGTGAATGCAATTTGATAATAATAAAGGCTGCTAGGCAAAGTCCAAACTTGCCTTTTCTACCAGAGGCTCTGCTACTGGCTTAGTGTAGAGAGCCTTATTCATAAAAAGTATGGAGCTATGGTTCCAGTTCTTACCTGGGCACTCACACAAGCAGACAAGAACGGGGGTGTGTAGGATCTCGGGACTCTTGAGTTAGTTAGAATCTGTAACTCTTGACAGGACTTACCCTTTGATGGCTATACTGGGTTCAACTCACTTCTGTCTCCAGCTGGGGGGTCTACTGTGGAGTAAGGATGTGGGTGGGAGGGCAGTTGTTTGACCCAGACCTCACATTCATGAAGAGCCTCAACTACAGACTTTGCCTGTTTCATTTGTTCCTTGTAAACAGTAGAACCTTTTGTTTTGTGCTGTGTTAGAATCCTTCCTAGAGGGCAGATTAAAATGAGACTATCAAACAGAAGAGGACCAGCACATGAGCAACGCAAAGACCAGACAGCTGGGCTCACAGAACTCGCAGCCTAAAATAAATCTTGTACTGATTTTTCTTTTCCTTGATAAGAGAAACATCGCTTTTATTGACAAGATAGGGCCATACCAGGCAAGCTCTGCAGAACAAGAAGAGGAACCCAGAACTGCGATGTCACCTCACTCGCCCTGTGTTTCTCTAGGAGACTGTTGTTGGGTGTGTGTGCTCAGTCATGTCGAACTCCTTGCGACCCCATGGACTGGAGCACGCCAGGCTCCTCTGTCCATGCAATCTTCCAGGCAAGAATGCTGGAATGCTTTGCCAATCCCTCCTCCAATGGACGACGTTTTGTCAGAACTCTCCACTATGACACATCCGTCTTGGGTGGCCCTGCATGGCATGGCTCATAGCTTCATTGAGTTATGCAAGCCCCTTTGCCGTGACAAAGCTGTGATCCACGAAGGGGCTTGATGTGTGAGTCCCATGTAAACTGTTGGAGTTCGTCCCCATCCCGCTCAAGTAGAAGGCAGGACGTTTCACCTGGGAGAGGAGCCTTCCCTCCTTTGGGCCACCTGCCAGCTGGTCAGAGCAGGAGAGAAGGGAGAGAGCGGAGCACTGCAGAAGCAGTGGCTGGGTTTCCACTCCAGCCTTGGGTGAGGCACCCTCACACCTGAGGCGGCGGGGGTGCTTCCTTCCAGATGCCCCTCAACGTGGACGGCAGGTTCCGTGTCAGAGGGTCCCCTTGAGGACAGGCTGGCTGATGGTCCATCACCCCAAGTGAAATGATTTCTAAATAAACATATCATCCCACCTTGGCAAGTGGACTTCAATGTGTTGCTGTGACCTTGAACTTGGACCGGGCTCTCTGGAAGGCAGGGACTAGGCCCTCTTTAGCTTGTTTACACATCTTCCCTAGGTCGTGCTGTAGAAGAGACTGGGCTGCTGCAGCTTTAACCTGGAGTTTAGAGTAGTTTCTTGTGAAATCGGGCTGATAAGGATGCTTATCAAAAATGAAATAGGAAGATGGACTGGGGAGCCTTAAAACTTGGGCAAGATAGAGTGGAAATCTGACTTGTGTTCTTGGATATTGACAAGGCTGAAACGTTGCCCGTCTCCCTGGAGACTAGTTTCCACTTTTTTTTTTGAATAATATTCTCTTAAAGAGTTTATTATAAACTAGTGTCACAGGCCACAAGGAAGTAAAAGGACTATGTACAGCCTTACGGGAAACAGGCAGGGAGTTGAGGAGGGCCAAGATGAGCCTAGGGCCTTGGTGGGTGCATTCCCGGGGGAGGGGGCCCTGTAAGGGAAACCAGACAATCCGGTGAGACTCCGAGAACAACGGCTTAACAAACAAACAGGTGTGGTAACGTGGCCCTGGAGAATCGGGCCCAAGCCTCTGTGGAGCTACTTCCATAACTCTGTGGCCAAGGTCAAAGAAGGCCTCGCATCCCTGGGGGAGGAGGCCGCATCCCCGGTGGCGGCATGCCCATAGGAGTTCCTCGTCCAGGTGGGATCCCCATTGGGGGACCCATGGGAGGCCTTATACCAGGAGGTGGGCCCATCATGCCTGGAGGGGGTGCCCCTCGGCCCATAGGTGGTGGAGGACCTGCACGGCCAGGTGGGTACTGGGTTGGGGCCCCTGCAATACTGGCTGTGGCAGCAGCTGCAGCTGCTGCAACAGTACCTCTTCCTTGTGGGGTCATCACCTGTCGGGATGGACCACCAACCCCTCGGACTGGCCCAGCAAGTCCTGCAGGAGCCTGAGGCATAGGAACCCCAGCTGGGATTCCTCTACCAGCAGCTCTGCCAATCCCTGGGCCCCCAGCAGCTCCAGCAAGTGGCACTCGGGCAATGCCAGTATCTTTTGTAGGTGGTCCATCTACTGTCATTGAGACCAGGTTCTCCCCTCGAAGTAGCACGAGACCAAGGACTCACTTCTCTTCTCTCTCTGCTTGTTTTGAGTTCTTTGGTTTGATCTTCCTGAACTCATCACAGTCACAGAGGATCAAATTCATATGCTTGTCAAAGGCTTTAAAGGTGCCAATGAAGATACGGCCATCTTGCAGGATACACCTCATCCTATAGTCAATGTGTTGCAGCATCTTGCTGCTCTTGCCCACGGTCATGGTGGCGGTTCTGATGGCTCAGATTCCCCCCGGATTCGCTTTAGCGGAGGCCTAGAAGGCCGCGAGTAACTTGCTTCCCGCCGCCGCTACCGGAAATGCCTAGTTTCCACTTTTGAAGTGGAGGATGGACCTGCTGTGCGTGCACATCACTCAGCGACACAGATTGTTGCCTCTTTCCTCCTGAAGCCCAGGAATTGGCACAAAGCAGTCTACTATTAGAAGCGATAGCCTTGTGCCTGTGACACTCAGCTAACTGCCTTCTCACCTTTTGCCATTGCTGAGTCTCTGTCTGCGTTGGTTGCCTGGTGTTAAATCAGACTGCAGGAGACTTGGGCAATGAGTATCTGTATCTGTCCTATAAAATCCCCCAGCATGCTGGAAGAGCTCAATAAACTCAAGAATAACAAAAATATCAGAAGTCAGAACTTTTCTACGTTCTGTCTTGCTGGAGAAAATAAATGGGACACAGTTATTAGCGGCGTCCAAATAGAAGGGGAAACACTACAGATGGTCCAGTGGAAAGAATAAGGAATAAGGCAGTGAACTCCTGAGAGCCACAATAAATCATAAGATGGAGAAAAATAAGATGTAATGCAATAAAGCGAACAATTTTTTTGTTGGTAGAGCACACTCTGAAAAGAAGCAATGGAAATGTCTTGTCTCATTTAAAGCAAAAATTGACAAAGCAATTCCCAAGTACAGAAAGCGCCAGAACATTACTGGCTACATGAACACTATCTGTGAACAAAAAGATGTTGAAAAGAAGATGCAATAACCAAAGTTTGAAAGAACTGAAATTTTCTTTTAGTTAAAGCAAAAGGTCTAAGACAGCTCAGCATCCTGGCCAGGCCTAATGAGAGGGCACAGACCAACACTGCTTCACCACTAACTCCAGACTAGCCAGGGAGCAGAGAATATGTCAGAAAAATTTCTGAAAATCAGTCCATGTACTACACCACATCAACAGAATAAAAGACCAACACCACATGATCTCAGTAGATGCAGGGAAAGTATTTGATAGAATTCAACACTCCTTCATGATAGAAACACTCAACAAACTAGAAGTATAAGGAGACTTCTTCAATCTAGTAAAGCACATCTGCAAAAAATCCACAGCTAACATACTGAAAGCTTTTCCTCTGGGATCAGGAACAAGACAAAGACATGCTCTCTCACCACTTCTGTTCAGCATTGGACTAGATGTTCTAGCCAAGGCAAGAGAATGCAATAAAAGGTACCCAGCTTGGAAAGAAAAAAGTAAGACTATATTTGCAGAAGACATGATCTGGTAGGTGCTGGTGGTGGTTTAGTCACTCAGTTGTGTCTGACTCTTGTGACCCCATGAACTGTAGCCCACCAGGCTCCTCTGTCCATGGGATTCTCCAGGCAAGAATACTGGAGTGGGTTGCCATTTCCTCTCCAGGGGATCTTCCCGCCCGACCCAGGAACTGAACCCATGGGTCCTGCATTGGTGGGTGGATTCTTTACCAGGGAAGCCCAATCTGGTAGGTAGAAATCCTAAAGAATCTACTAAAAAAGTATTAGATCCAAGGAAATAGTTCAGCAAGATTGCAGGATACAAGATCAATAGACAAAAATCAATTATATTTCTATACAATCTGAAAATGAAATTAAAACAATTCCACTGAAAATAGCATCAAAAAGAATAAGTCACTTAGAAAAGGATTTAACAAAAGCAGTACAAAACCTATACTCTGAAAATTACAAAACATTGTTGAAAGAAATGAAAGGATATTAAACAAATGGGAAGATATCCCATATTCATAGATTGAAAGGTTTGATATTGTTTAGATGGACTACTCCCTTAACTGATCTATAGATCAACACAATCCTTATCAAAATTCCAGCTGGCTTCTTTACAGAAATTAATGAGTTGATGCTAAAGTTCATATGGAAATTCAAGGGACCCAGAGTAGCCAAAATAATCTTGAAAAAGAACAAAGTAGGAGCATCCACAACTCCTAATTTCAAAGCTTACTACGAAGCTGCAGTAATCAAAATAATGTAGTACTTGCATAAAATAGACATAAAATCAACTGAACTAGAATTGAGAGTTTAAAAATAAGCCTTCACATTCACAGTTCATTGATTTTCAACAAAGGTGCCAAGACCATTTAATGGGGTAAAGAATTTCAGTTGGTGCTGGAACAACTGGGTAGACACATGGATAAGAATTAACTTGGACCGTGACCTCATACCACATATAAAAATTAATTCAAAATGGATCAAAGATGTAAGAGCTAAAGTTATTAACCTCTTAGAAGAAAATACTGAAGTAAATCCTCATGACCTTGTATTAAGCAATGGTTTCTTGGATATGACTTTGAAAGCACAAATGACAAAAGGAAAATAGTTAAATTGGTGTTGATCAGAATTAAAAATTTTTGTGCCTCAATGGACACTGTCAAAAAAAGACTGGGGGAAATTTTTTTTAAAAGAATGAGGGAAATTTTTTGTTAATCATAGACTGATAAGAGACTTGTATATAAAATATACAAAGGACTCTAAATTAAATTCAATAAATTAATAAGTGGACAAGGTTTCTGAATAAACATTTCTACAAAGAAGATATTCAGATAACCAATAAGCAAGTGAAAAGATGATTAACAATATTTGCCATCACAGAAATGCAAATCAAAACCACAAGAGACTATAAAAAAAAAAAAAGACCCAATCAAAAAATGGGTGAAAGACCTAAATAGACATTTCTCCAAAGATGACATACAGATGGCCAAAAAGCACATGAAAAGATGCTCAACATCATTAATTACTAGAGAAATACAAACCAAAACTACAATGAAATGTCACCTCACACTAATCAGAATGAAAGCGAAAGTGAAAGTCACTTTGTCTTGTCTGACTCTTTGAGACCCCATGGAATAGTCCATGGAATTCTCCAGGCCAGAATACTGGAGTAGGTAGCCATTCCCTTCCCCAGGGGATCTTCCCAACCCAGGGATCGAACTCAGGTCTCCAGCATTGCAGGTGGATTCTGTACCAGCTGAGCCACCAGGGAACCACCGGATTGCCAGAGAAGCCCCTAGACTTGTTTTCATCTGTCAGAATGGCCATCATCAAAAAATCCACAATCAAGAAATGCTGAAAGGGTGTGGAGAGAAAAGAACCCTCTTCCACTGTTGGTGGGAATATAAATGGATACAGCCACTATGGAGAACAGTGTGGAGATTCCTTAAAGAACTAAAAATAGAACTGCCATACAACCCAGCAATCCCACTACCTGGCATATACCCTGAAAAAAGCATAACCCCAAAACACACATGTACCCTAATGTTCATTGAAGCATTATTTACAATAGCCAGGACATGGAAGCAACCTAAATGTCTATCAACAGATGAATGGATAAAAAAGATGTGGTACATATATACAATAGAATATTACTTAGCCATAAAAAGGAATGAAATTGGGTCATTTGTAGTGATGTAGATAGACCTAGAGTCTGTCATACAGAGTGAATTAAGTCAGAAAAACAAATATTGTATATTAATGCATACATGTGAAATCTAGAAAAATGATGCAGATGAACCTATTTGCAGATGTGGACATAGAGGACAAACATGGATGCAAGAGGGGGAGGAGGGGTAGGACAGATTGGGAGATTAGGACTGACATATATACCGTAGCATGTGTAAAACAGACAGCTAGTGGGAAGCCAGGGAGCTCAACTCAGTGCTCTGGGATGACCTAGAGGGGTGGGAGGGACGCCAAGGGAGGGCATACATGTATACATGTAGCTGATTCACCTCGATGTACAGCAGAAATTAACACAACCCTGTAAGGCAATTATACGCTAATTAAAAGAAAGAAAGAAACACAAAGGATTTCTCTAATGATCCATAGATCTCAAATGCCACGCAGTGCAGTCAAAAACAAAAGCAAAAAACCAAACTACAAGACATCACTTCACACCCACTAGGATGACTGTTATAAAAAAAGAAGATGAGCAAAAACAAGTGTTGGCAAGGATGTGGACAAACTGGTACCCTAGTAACATTGCTGGTAAAAACATAAAATGGAGCAACCACTGTGGGAAACAATTTGGCAGCTTCTCAAAAAACTTAAGCATATAGTTACCATAAGATCCAGCAATTCTACTCCTAGGTATGTAGAAGAGAGAAATAAAAGCATATGTTTATACAAAATCTTGTACACAAATGTTCATAGCAGCATTATTCATAATAGCCAAAAAGTGAGAACAAACTTCATGTGCAGCACCTGATGAATGGATAACTAAAATGGAATATTATTTGGCAATAAACAGGACTGAAACGCTGATATGTGCTACAACAATGGGCACATCTAGAAAACAGCATAGCTAAGTGAGAGTTAGATCACCCAAAACTGCACACTGTATGATTCCATGTCCAGAACAGGGAAATCCATCAAGACAGAAAGTAAATTAGTGGTTGCCTTGAGGTGAGTTTGGGGGAAGAAGGGGGAGTGACTCTTTGTACATGAGAAGTTTCTTTGAAGGGTAATGGGAATGTTCTAAAATTGATTGTAGTGACAGTTGCAATGACTGGATAATACTAAGAAACCATTAAGTTGTGCAATTCTATGGCATGTGAATTGCATCTTAATAAAGTTTGGGTTTATGGGAAGAGGGTAGGTTTTAATTCTGAGTCCTCACGTAAACACGTTTTCATCTTTTTTTGAAACAGACTGCTCCTCTTCCACGTTTGCACGCCCCTCTCAGAATGCTCTCCTTCCTGGAAGCAGGTCTG